GTAAAAAGTAATACATTATTTTTTCAATAGTTAGTTAAATCGGATAGTTAGAATTATGCGTTTTATGTCAAATATGCGTCGTTTTGCTCGATAAGTTTTTACCATATTGAAACAAATGTTATTATGACTTTCTCATAGAACCCCTATTGGAAAAAATTAGGACAATCGATTTTTTCTCGAGTTCAATTCTTCACCAACCAAACCATTGGCCATAGACAGGAATAGATAGTAATTATTTTGTGCGAGGTTCGGCCAATAAACTTAATGCATAAGGAGCCATCAACCAAGCTCTGGGAATACGATGGATGTGTGTGGTCTAACGTTGTCCCCTTGAAACAAAAATGTCGTTTAGCCAGTACTGAGGATGTTTAATGCATTGTGATGTGTTTATAGTTTTTAGACAAACATAGAAAGCAGTTGAAAACATCCAGATGGCTTTGTTACTGAAAACATGTGTTATCAACTTCATTTCTTTACACTTAATTTGTACATTTCTTTAATTTTTTACATTCACCGTGATATGTAGACGGGTCTGCAGGTAAACTCATAAAATGCTGACGGAAACTTAACTATCTAATTTTTTAATACAAAATTGTGCTGCAATTAAGAGTTTTAAAACTTTATCGCTAAGAACTTTTCAGAGCAAACGCACATTTCGAATAATTTTTAGCTCAATCGGCTCAACAGTTAGGCTGCAACTACCCATTTTACTCACCAGCCGTCTATAAATGTCGACGTCGAGGCGAGATAAACACACGAGTTATCGACGCCGCTGAGAGCGACGAAATGTTGCCAGCTGCCTGTGTGTTTGCACACTTTTGAACAAATTCATAATTTTCGTCAACGAATTTCATAATTTATTTGCTTGAACATAAACACAAGGCAAATATACATGATCTATATGGTAAAAAATAATTAGTTACGCATTTATTTTTCATTTCTTTTGAACAAAACTACGCATTATCTTCGATTATTTAATGTTACTTTAAGAAAGACTATACTGGCAACCTTGTATAGCAACGTAAAATGAGCCGAGCCGGTTTTACGGAAAAAATCAAAACTTTGTTGGTTTCTGCGACACAAACGTCACCACCGCTATGGGCAAGCGGTGACAACTTTGTGTTTACATGGCGCTCTCATAAGATAGATTACTATGGACGGCTGGTACGCGCGTTGGGTAGTTGCAGCCTTACTTTTCGATTTCTTAAAGAGCAAACCAATAGAAAAACATAGCTATTCTATTATATTTAGGGAAAAAGAAGAAGAAGAGGCACACAAAAAATTATATTTTATTATTGTTCTAAATATTTTCAAGTGATCTTGACCTTATAAATAAATAATTAATTATTCTTGTTACACAGTTACAATTTTATCGTCTCTCTTTGTTGTCAAATTTCGTATACATAAATATCATGGCACTCAAAAATCATTCTGCATCTCGGCGAGAATTTGTTTATTTACAATTATGACACACATTTTCTTGCTTTTGCCAAATTTTCAAAATTTTTCATTTTGCTTCAATTATTGCTTAGCGAGTTCTCAATGTTTTCTGTTTTTTTGCTCTTATTTTTTAATTTTTCTATTTTTTCTCTTTTTTTTTGTTTTTTTTTTATTTTATTTTATTTTTTTTTTTTTTGCTTTTTTTTTTGTAATTTTGCAAAAATGACATTTGCCATTTAATGGCATTTTCTCGCCAACCGAATCACCAAAAATAAAATTTGTTTGCCAAAAATGTGTTTCAGTGCAGTCAAAATTGCCAATAACAACGCACACACAGAGCGGCAGAACGCGTCGATAAAGTGTACCCGAAGCTGCGCGACGCGAGTCGAACGCGAGACGAAAATTTTCCGTTTTTAATTTTTTTTTTGTTCTAAAACATAATTTAATGTTTGCGTTTAGGACATGTATTTGCCACCCGCGCACAACTGCAACGAACTTATAATTTTTACGAATTACAACAACAATCAAACGAAACGGATTAAAAAAAAATCCAAACGAAAATCGCAAAATTCACAATTAAATAAAATACAACAACAAATACAGTTGTGAGCAAATGGTTTTAGTTAAATATATATGTATGTATGGGAAAATATATACTTACAGTGTGTAAAAAAAAGTTGTTGCGGAATGCGCGCAGCAACAACAACAAGATCAGTATCAACAGCCGCAGTGAAGCGACGTCAAAAACGTTTAAAACATTCACAAAACGTGCTGCGCGTTAACCGTTGAACGCATATACATACTTACATATATCTGTACATATGTACATGTAAGTGTCTGTGCAATAAAAAAGCTTTCAAGTGTATTAAAAGAGAAGAAAAGCAACAAAATCTAAAAGTGGTCAATTTCCAAAAAAAAAACTCGCGCTGGAGAAGCTACGCGATAAAATGTGGTTCCGCCTCTCGGGTGGCGGCAGCAGTAGTGGTGGTGGCGGCAGTGGCGCAGATTCCACAGATGATGCATCACCAACAACACAAGCCAACCACACGCTGGCAGTGCCCACCACTACGACGAGCGCCAACAGTGAGCCATCGCGCTTTGAGAAGTTTCGACGTGCCAGCTTTCGTCGCAAATCCACCGGCCAAATGGCGACACGTAAACGTTCCAAATCACCGCATTTCATTTTGCAAGCGGACAAATCCACATCGCTGGAAGAAGCGGACGAGGATGCGGAGAAGGAGCGTCTGGCGGCCGCGGCGGCGTCGTCAGCAATGCCAGTGCAGGATCGCCTAAACGGCCAAGGCACCAACGGCCTGCCAGTCAGCAACAACAACGTCACTGGCTCAACACAATCACTTTACAAAAGTGAGGTTGATATTTTATTGAACGGCCCTGAGGGCGAAACCACAACATTGGTGTTACTCAGCGACCCAAAGCCGGAACACAAAAAGCCGACACTGAAATCCATCAAAACTGATCCGCCCAAGCGCAAATTTTATAAGCACTTCACCTCCTCCTCCGGTACGGCGCGCCGCCAGGGTTCGCTAGAGAGCGCCGAAATGCCACCGACTGTAAGCGTGCTTGCCGCTTTGCGCGAGTTTACGCCGAAAAGTACACAGAAGAAGCAGCCTCACCAGCCGCGTGCAGCAAAGTATAGCGAGAGTGAGGATTACGATGATGACGTGGACACCGATTCTACCGATACGGATGACGAGAGCAGTGATGCTGCTGACGTTGACACCGACAAATTATCACCAAAGCGTGATAATGCCAAGGAGAAGAAGATACTTCTTACGGATCCCAAGTATAAGCATAACCGCATCGAGAAGAGTTCGTCCAAAACGAAAATGACCGATCTGGAGAAACGTGAGAGCTTAAAGCGTTCGCGTAGTGCACGTAAACTGGCTGCAGCAGAACGTGTGGCTGCGGCAGCGGCAGCGGCTGCTGCGACGACAGGCGGCACTGAGGAGGGCTCAAATAGTAATAGTACGCCGCAAAAGAAGAAGGATAAACGCGCCGAGAAGGAGGCGGCAAAGAAACATTCTCGTGGCCATAATAATCTCAACTTGCATGCGCTCGTCAAGTTCGTGATGAATAATAAGAAATTCTTAAATAACGATGAATTCACACTAACACGGCGCAAGTCGATCTCAGAAGCTGCTACAACAGTCATCACTGTGGCCGCCACTTGTAAGCCGATGCCGATTGCGCTGAAATATTCGCCCGATGATGTGGTGGCCGAGGCACCGAAAGAACACGACGCCAAAGCCGAACGCAATGTGGTGTTGGTAAAGAAGCAAAACCTGAAGAACTCCTTCTGCGATCATTTAACTAATAACAACAATGAATGTCATTTGGATCACAGTCAGGATGAATGCGCAGACAACAAGGTCAACAAAAAGAAGAAACAGAAAAAGCAGAAGAAAAATTCGATGGAGGAGGACGAGTGCGCTAATCGTGAGATCTACAAATATATCGCCGAGGATGATACGCAGAAAGCGTTGGACGCCAAAGTGAAACGCAACTGTTCGAACAGCTCAAAGAGCAGCAAAAGCAGTGGAAATTTTGAAGATGAAGCGTTCTATTCCTGCGACGAACTGGAACGCGAGGAACGTGCTCGAGGCAGCAAACGCAGCGCCGGTGCTCAAAGTCGTGGTGGCAGTGTAAGTGGCGTAGAGACGTCACCAAACTCCAATACTTCCAGCTCCTTATCATCCACATCCAACACTTTGTCGCCGCCTAGCCTTGTAACGACTGATGAGATGGGGACGCAAACAGCAGCAACAACACCAACCACAACTATAAAACGTAAAACATCTTCCCCATCTCTCACCTCGAGAGTAGCGGCGAAGATTAACGAGAAGACGAATAATTATCGTAATCGACGCGCGGTCGCAGCTGCAGCGGCTGCAACGGCCAATAAGATGGCCAAGAAGCAACGCAAAGGACAGATGTCGTTGACGGCAACGGACAACGGCGGTGCTGGCGCAGGTATTGGTACAGGTGCTGCGGGAAAGCGTGCAGAGTTTTACAAGCAACTAAGTGTTGGTGAGCAATAATTAAAAAAAAAATATTGGGGAAATGAAATGAAAGAAAAAGCAAAGTATTGTATAACTGATTTTAGAGGGGGAGGGTCAGTTGAAACTTGACCGGTAGTTTAGTTTGCTACATTTTTTTTATAGGTTTATAGGTTATAGTATAGTATAGGTAGAAAAGGTTTTATATTTACAGGATCCAGTTTACCGCTCTGAGACTCAAGTTGATTGGACTTAAATGTCCTAATAACACTTCTTTCGTCTCAGTTTATTTTGCTGTTAATCTACTATCACTCTTTACAGTTGCAAGATGTCTTGAGTAGATCTTCAGATAGAAGATTTATATTTGTATTTATTAAGAGTCTAGCGGCTAAATGACTTCCAGACGTGAATTGATACAGAGCCTTGTTACCATAATGTAGAATTCTTATATAATTTAAATTGTATAAATATCCCCCACCCCTCAACAATTGCATAGCTTAACTAATCTCTATCAACTCTATTTTTCCCTTTTTCTCTCCTCAGAACGCCTACACACATCGTCCATTGTACGACAGCCCTCCGATCGCAGACCGGATGCAGGCAACCAAGCGCTACGTTCCAACGGCACAGCCGCAACGTCCGCCGACAATACAGATGACGTACAGCTACGTCTGCCATCGGGCGGTGCATATCCAGCCGGTGGCGGCTCGGGCGAAGCGAGCAGCGGTGGTATCGGCAAATGCGGGCTATTGGGACGCGGCGCGCGCGAATCAAATGTGCCGTCATCAAGTGATGCTGCAGGCGACTTGGGTGGTACAGCTGCCACCGATGCGAATGCGCAGGACGCAGCAGAAGGGAAAGATGCACGACGAGAACGGTGAGTTGGCGTTTTTTTTTTTTTATTATTATTTTCCACTTTTATTTTTTCGCAATAATAATTTTTATTTTATGTGCATTTCTTCTCTCACTCCTATTCGTTGCTACGTGATGCATCACAATTTGCCTTTATTGCAATTTTATTATTGTAATTTGGATTCGCTTGTGTTTACAGTTTACATCAACATCATCAAAATAAAAGCGCTCCCGTTTCGGTTAATCGCTCCGAATCGTATAAGGAGCGTTTATCACAAAAACGCAATCGCAATAGTCGACGCAAAACATCAGATCCCAGTCTGACGTCAAGGCCAAAGTGAGTACACATTTTTTTTTATTTTGCATATCCATATTTGCATCCAATAATATTCGTATAAATGTGTTGATGATCAGAAAAACTTTTAAAACGCAGAATGAAGATGATCAGATCTCAAAGTAACAGATTTTTTTTTATTACACTGTTTTAATTTTTCATAATTATTGTAATTCACTTATTACTTTAATTTATATTTTTTAATATTTTTTTTTAATTAACCAAAATTATTTGTTGATGTCACATTTTTAATGACTTATGAATAAGCTTGCATAGGCAAAAGTAAGTCCAAACGGTAGCTAAACTGGTTAATCCCTTGAGAAAGCTCACATAGACGATCCATGGCAGAGGACTGCGCACGAGCTATCTCCAGTCATTCATACAATATTGAATATCAATGCGTAGAACTGAAAGCCACTGCTCCTCTCCACCCATTTGTACCATAATTTTGGGCTTATAGTATAAGTTGCAACCGCTATGAATGCGACTGCACCATCAAACTCAAATTTGCGCGTCATTGATATGATTCATTTTTGCATCAATTTATTTTTCGCTAACTAATTCATCTTCCATTTTGTTTTTATGCAAGAAACTGGTATTTTTTAATGCTGCGTAGTCCTACGAACTGTAAATTTTTCGGCTATACATCAGCTTTATACTAGTTAAATACCAGTTCATTTAGGCATCTTGAGTCAAAAAAATAAAAATAAAAATGAAGTTGCTCGCAGCATGAATCAAACTGTGAACTTCCCGAGCTATAGTTTTGTTGTTTTTTTTTTTTTTTTTTGTAGTAGTAATCAGTAAAATATTTCGCAAATGGGTTTTCGGCGAATATAGCGAGAGTGGCAATCCTTGGCCGGCTGTCATCTTTTACAACATGAAATAATGGCCGTTCGAAGGCGACTTAGTATAAACATCAAGAAGCAAAACCCCAAATTGGCCGAAAATCGGTTCAGCGGTTACAATTATACATAATGATAGTAATAACCTCCTAACGTTGGGGAAACTGAAATGATTCCATCTTCAAAATACTAGTATTCAACTAGCCTTACCAGATAATCTACACACAAACTAAGCTCTGTTTTGCTATCTTACATGTTAAACTTTGTGTCACTAAGTATGGTCAACCTCTGTCTGCCGTATGACAGATTACATGCTCTGCTATCTCCTCACATTCTCTGGGCTATCTGAATTTGTTGTCCTCAAGCAGAGCTAATTTTTTATTATGAAATACAAATAGACAATGCACTGTTAACTGCTCCAGTAATTGCTTGGTTCTACAATAAGTTTGATAAGAGTTGTGTCATATCTTTTGCACATAATTTTCGGTATTCTGTGCCTCTTTTTTCGTTCCCAAAAGGCGTTTAGCCTCAAGATTTGAAGAAAATTAGACATTTAGACAATATCTGAAGCTACAAAACTTTCCCATGTTCTGGCAATTTGTATATTTGATACCCTGTTTTTAAGGCCGCATTTCTGGGAGTACATTCATAATCAACCGGGTCAACTGCTATTTTCAAAATAGTATTTAACCGGCAGCGCAACATGAGGCTGAACGTTGTTAGGATTAAAAATTATTGACTCATGGCTTATGTCGAATTCCAAAGGTGGTATGGCAGTCCCTCGCCTCAATTTGATGAGTTTTTGTGGGTAGCATTTCCCCAATAATGATTTCAACCAGTTTTAGAAGATCATAATACAGTAGGTCCCTCTGATCCCACCAAATAAGAGTATTACCATAGTTATTCTGATTCGGCGTGTGAGCCAGGCTTCACAGATGACGTTTTGAACTTAGGCTTGTCGTAAAGGATCCATTTTTCATCACATCACCTGTGCTCGCCAACAATATCCATTCAGTAATGTTTACAGCTCCGAAACTTTAAGCTTTTTTGGCTGCTCAGGACATTCATTGTCTTCCAAGCCAAAATCACCACTTTTAAGTTTGAAAAACTCGCCCGCAAAAAGACTTTTTCAGGCACAAAGCTCGATATATTTCAGAGAAAAAATCATTGATTTTTATGCTTCAAACGACTGATGACAGTAGCTTGCCAACGCATTAAACAGGTTTTTTTATTGGGACTGAGAATAGAGTAGATCAGCTCAAGTTCGAGCAGAAGAGAGCAGCTGCCAAAAAACAATAGAGTAAGTTAGAGCAACTCGGAGCAAAAAACTCATGAAGCATTTTTCGGGCAACAATCATTGAGGGGTTTGACTTTTCTGTTGTACACAAAATGGAAAATTTTTACAAATTTGCATTTATAAATCAATAAAATTTATTATTTTTATTGTCACTTGTGAACATCCCTTTCTAATATTTTGTCCACTTTCGTTTTCTAACCGCGTTTGTCAAAAAGAAATCTTATTGTTTGCTCCAAGTTACTCTACCAAAATAATCAGAGCAGAAGATCGTGATCTGAGTTGCTCTATTCCTGCTTTGCCGCCAGAAATTTTTAACGATCAGAGTTGCCAACATATTTCAAAACCAATGTTCAATGATCAAAAATCAAAATCAGCAATGAGGAAATTTCTCGACGGGCTTATCTTGCCCCTCGCTTTGTTTCCACGCGCCAAGGGTCGATTAAAGTGCTGTAAATCAAGACGCCTTTTTGGACCACTAAATTTCTTCATTTCACGTTTGATCTGCTAATTACTGAGACATTATTAATTTTTGTTTGTTTGTTTTTGTGAACTTATTTCTAATGATACACCGTAAATAATCCGTGCTTACGCATTTCCTATATTTTATCCATATGCCATACGCCATATGCCATTTGGAACTTTCAAAGAAGGTAATTGAGGAAAGTTTAAATTTATATTACCACCTCTTGGCTTTGTACGCCGAACCGCATTGTTTACCGGAAACTGATTTGTTTACATTTACATACGTTACAATTACACACACATACAAAACAGACACATACGATAAGAAAATATATAGTTTTTTGCATCTCGACTTCCAGATATCGATAGTGACAAATATTTGGGCGGCATTACTTACTTACATATGTACATATGTTTGTATGTATGTATGTCATGCCTCGGCACATGCATGCAACCATGTGTTACCGACAAACAACAAAAGGGGAAATGGCGAACAAATTTCCAATTCCAGTTCAATTTGTAGGTGTAAAGTGCAAATGAGCTGACGACGTTCATTAGGTTTTTGTGGTTTCAACGGTAAAAATAAAAAAAAAAAAAAAAAATTAAATTTGAAAACAATCACTTCGTTTCAATGGCAGGCCAAAGGTGTGCATGTGTGCATATATATGTAAATTCTATTATGCACAACCACATAGCGACGAAGTACAATAGTTCCAGCGTCAAAACTGCTGCCAATTGTCTTCTCTCATAAACCGACACAATCTGCCAGCCTCATTGTTGTCGCATTGCCGCCTTTGTGGTTGTTTGTTGCATCCAAGAAGTGGGAGATTTGCAACGTCGAAAAAACACTTGTGGTTTATGGCGGAAGCAGAAACTGTTTATGAATGTTGCACATATGCTTTTTGCGGATGAATTGAGGTGAAGAGCAAGCAAGTAAAAGAAAAAAACAAAATTTTGTCTTTCATAAAAATGCACAATAATGCGCTGAAATACTTCAGTTGGCAATACAGACTTTATGCTCCACATACAAATACAACAATTTAACTCATTTACGGTACTGTTTCCTTGGTATTTAGGGCAAATATTAAATATGAAAGGCCAAAGAGAAAATAGCAAAAAAAAATTAATACTAATGCATTGCAATGGCAGAAAAAAGAAAAAAAATTTGCCCAATTATAATTAACAAAAGTCAAAATCGACATTGAAATTAAACAAAGAACAATTTCACTGGTCATTTAGCCTGCCACCAGCGTTGATGTCGTGTTCGCGGCACAAAAATCGCCTACCGACCCTTCGACCTAACAATGTTGGGATGTTTTCCACTCTTACCCTCTATACTCTTACTTTTGGAAGAGGTTTGACGTAGAGCCTATTAAGATCCAATACAGAGGCGCAGTGCAACGTGAAATTTTTAGCAGAGCTTTGCCGTCTTAGTGATCAACCCTTTTTTTTTACTAGGTTCTAAATATTTGGGTTCCAAAATAGTTATATTCATTTTTTGCCAGATAGCTGTACTTGAAGAACTCGCTCTAAGTTCTAGCTCTCTTCCGAAGTATAAACTGTTAGATGAAGCATCAAATCTATATGGTCTGTATTGAATGGATGAATGTTCTAGTAGTAGCTGGGGCTGACCTTGCAATGGTCCATTCTATTCTGTCAGTCGACCCAATCTTTTAACGCATTTTCGATCGCGTGGTCCCCCATTGCTCCAATAGCGATTTGAATTTCGTGTCATTAGTCATGAGCAAGTGATATCTCCAGAATTTCGTGTGTAATTTTCTTGGTGTTGCGATTGAAAACTCACCATTTTGGAACCAAGCTTTCAATATAGCCCAGTTTTCATCAAGCATTAACTGAAACATTTTGTAAACCCCCGACCTATTACTAAATTGTCAAATACATATTCTGATCGGAAAAGCCATATAAGTAGCCAAAGCTTGAATATACCCTTGGAGTGATAAAGCATTACAGTCAATGATGATATAAAAGATAAGACGTGCTAGAAATATATTTTCCTCCTACCTGCACCATAATGTCACAGAGTGCACCACGTAGACCTAACAACCTACCCCTCAAAGCTGTCTTAAATAGTATATTAGTTACTAAATTGCTTGTAATATTTTAAATTTTTCTTTTACGTTTAAGAGTTGTGCTTGAGAAGCTTTATTTGGCCACCTTCCCAACGAAGAGCTTTAAGCTCGCCCTCGAAACTTACAGTCCACACCAGCAGTCTAAGCTTTTCCACCACACTTTTTCGAGCTTTCTATATTTCTGCGCGCTTTTTCCAACTTCCTTATTGTATGTAGAGAGCAAAATAACGGTTCATTTAATACAGGGATTTTCGCATAGATGCTTTGCTATAGCCGCATATGTGCGTGTGTTTGTAAGTTTGATTGTAGCCA